TGCAGTATGGAATCTATCTCACTTTTAATGACCTCCTTCCATTTAGGTCCTTCCGAGAAATTCACAACCTCTTGATAACTTTGATGTTCACTTTCTAGCGTATAGATCAGAAAATCAGGACCATATGATTTTTCTATCATTTCTCGTTTGCTACGTCTAACATCAGTCTCCTCTTCTAGTTCTTCGTCATGACTATTTTCAGTCATAGTCTCATATGTTCGTTTGGAGAAGCTTACTTCCTCTTTGGACTTGTACGGAAATACATGTTCAAAGAATGAAACATTTCTTGATTCTAATATCGTGTTTTTGTGTATGTCAGGGATTTTAGAATCATACACAAGAAATCAATAAGCACTACTATTGTGTACATACCCAATGAAGATGCAATCTACTGTCTTTGGCCCTATCCTTACCTTCTTTGGTGTTGGAACGGCCACTTTAACAAAGCACCCTCACACTCGTAAGTATTTATAGAAATACTTTCTTCCTTTTCATAACTCATAAGGGGTCTTTTCCATTTTCTTTCAGGGCATGATAACACAACTTCCCCCCACATGTTTTGAGGTAACCCAGAACTTACTAGCATTGCATTTATAATTTCCTTTAAAGTGCGATTTTTCCGTTCAGCAATACCGTTTTGTTGTGGTAAATAAGGTGCGGTGGTTTCATGTATGATTTCGTGTTGTACACAGAATTTCGCAAATGGTACATCATACTCACCACCTCGATCGCTTCTTAACACCTTAGTTTTCATATTAAATTGAGTTTCAACTTCACTCTTATAAAGAACAAATTTCTCTATAGCTTCATCTTTACTTTTTAGCAAATATACATAACAGTATTTGGTGCTATCGTCGACAAAAGTAATGAAATACTTGTTGCTTCCACTTGTTTATATAAGTTTTAAGTCATACATGTCACTGTAACTTAAATTAAGTGGTTCTGTGTTCCGTTCAATTGATTTAAACGATGACCTTATCAATTTTGTCTCAACATAAGTTTCACACTTATGTTTTGAATCAATATGAAATTCGAGTATGCAATTCAAGTAACTGGTCTACGTAAAATATCATAGTTAACATGTCCTAGTCTACCATGCCACAAATTGGAAGAGTCAAGCAAATAAGCAGAAGAGTTTGTTTTATTCATTTTTGGTTTAACAGCCATTACATTCAGTTTAAACATACTGTCGAAAACATATCATTTTCCGACAAACATTTTACTTTTTAACAAAATAACTTTGTCTTACTCAAATACAATGTGAAAACCATTCTTATTCAAAAGCAACCCGGACACTAGATTCTCGGGAATTTTTGGCACGTATAACACATTGTTAAGAGTCAGCTCCTTTCCCGATGTCATTTTCAGAACCACCTTTCCTTGACCCTTGAAGTTGCTAAATTTTCCATAAATAACTTCTCCCCATTCTCAATTGCTTCGAACGCAGCAACCCGCTCTTTATCAGAGCACACATGCCTCGTAGCACCGGTGTCAATCCACCAATTTTTAGGGTTTGAACCTACCATATTCACTTCAGAAACGACGGCTGAGAGATTCAGCTCCGACACATCTTGTGCCATGTAGTCAACCACATTTGCTCTTTCTTCTTCTTTGGCAATCTGCACTCCAAAGACTTGTGGCCCATTTTATCACAATTGAAGCATTTCCCTTGAAATTTCTTTTTAGAAATTCCACCTTTTAGTCCTTGCTTGGTCTTTTTGCCACTAGATGGCCCATACTTGTTTTTATAGTTCTTACTACTTTGACCAAACTCCACAACATTAGCTTTAGCCATATCAGGATTGAACCACTTCTTTTCAGAACTCTTGTTGTCTTCTTCAATTTGAAGTCTAACAATTAATTCTTCGCCGTTCATTTCCTTTCGTTTGTGTTTCAAATAATTCTTGAAATCTTTCCATGCGGGAAGCAATTTTTCAATAATTGCAGGCACTTGAAAAGTTTCACTCAAAATCATTCCTTCGACATGAATTTCGTGAAGAATCACTTGGAGTTTTTGTACTTGACTGATAACTATTTTGGAGTCCACCATTTTATAATCTAGGAATCTGCCAACAATGAACTTTTTGCGCCAGCATCCTCAATTTTATATTTTCGATCCAAAGACTCCCACAACTCTTTAGTAATTTTCATTTTACTATACACATTGTATTACATGTCTGCTAAACTGTTCATAATACAGTTTCGACACAAAAAATTCGAATGGTTCCAAGCATCAAGTACACTAATTGCTTGAACATCTCCCTCACTCTCATTGAGTTTGGAGCAGTTTCAATCAAGAATTTCGCAAGATTCAAAGTGATCATATAAAATAACATTTTCTGCTGCCATCTTTTGAAATTCAAGCCATTGAATTTCTCTGATTTTTCTCTATGATTAATCGGAATATTAACGGTATGGCTAATTGTTGGAGCCACAATTTGACTCACAACATGACTTGTCAATCTAACCACGGTCTGAGTCACAACGGAGCTTGTTCCTTGAGCCACAGTTGAGCCCATAGCCTGATTTTCAGTAGGCACAGTTTGGTTCACATCTATGTTGGTCGATTCAGTTGTCATTTCTGAAAGTAAAAAAAAAAAAAAAAAGTTTCTAAAATTAATAGGATAAGAAAATAATTTTTTTCTCAAAAGTCTGTCTTAAGTTTGTTGGAATATTGTGGTAATAATAAAATCGGATTATCGCATACCGTAGGTGTAGTTTAGATACCAATTTTAAGCATACCGTATATGCCGCTTACCGTATTTGCAGGTAGCTTACCATATATGCAGCTTACCATATTTGCAGCCTACCGTATTTACAGCTTACCATATATATTATCTACCGTATTTGCACAAAGTTTTCACAAACTGTTTTTATTCCATTTCATATACAGTGAATGACTTTACGCATATTTGCTAGATACCGTATATAGAACTAACATGCCAGATATGTACTTACATATACCAAAATGTAGAAATACCGAATTTGCATATATTATCTAAATAAATACCGGTTGGAAACTACAAAACCGAATATATCAAATTAATTAATTTTCTTCAGAATTTTTTTTCGACATACATATAATAAACTGTAAAATTATATGAAGCACATATAACAAAATAAACTGAAAAATCTACGAAGTATAAGATTAAACTGCAAATAAATTCCAAATAAATCTGCAAGAACAAACTGCAAATATGTGGATTGCAAAAAATAAATAATTTTTCAACTCGAGGCCTGTGTGAGCACCGTTTCCTTAAAACAAATTCGTCCCCTCACCGTGAGTGCTTATGGTTTAATCTGAGCGTCTGTTTCCTAAGATACAACCGTAAAACCCGTAGAATCTGAGCACAACAGAAACTACTCCGACGAACTGTTTTAACGTCTGAACAATATCACCATAACCTTACTGGACAAATATGCGTATGCAAGAAACTATGATCCTACTGGATAGATACAGATATCCGAACAGTGCAGATAAGGAAGAGAACGATTTTTTTTCATCTAAAAAAATTACTGGAAACTGTGTTTAATTATATAGACTTAATTTGTCCATCAACCATTGGAGTTATATCAGTTTCTAGAGTTTCAGAAACTCAAAAGTCAATGGAGAAAGCAAGAAAAAAATTGCAAAACTTGGGATCTCCAAAGGGGCCAATTTTTGCTTCGTTCGGTCCGATATTCGTGTACGCAGGTCGCACTCGCACAGAAGTTCAAGGTCTGAAGGTAATTTCGGTCCGAGATTTGCACCCCCCTACGCGCGCACGTGGAGAGAGTCTCTATGCTACACATGATTACACATTTCCAATGTATAGTCATATTTAAAGTGGTTCTCGCTTTCATATTTTTCCTATGCGGGACTAAACTCATTTTTCCCGCATAAACCATCTTTCAATGGTTATCTTTGAGTTCTAATTTCTCATTCACCCAAACTTTATTTTTGGCAAATAAATATATGATTTTGATGCTCTCATGGAGGAGAATACGGATCAAATTTAATCTTCCAAATTAGACCAACGGGTCCAACCGAAAATTTTCCCAAAATTGAGCCATTTACTATTTATTTTTTTTTTCAACACACTTTTCAGCGCATTTAATGCTGGTCCAACATGGATTATATTGGAAAATAAACCAGAAGATTTCATTGTGAAATTCCCCTTAGAAGCATTCGTTTCCGATTAGTCTACAGTTTCGCGATGAAACTATAGGTGGCGGAAATGTTTCCGAAATTCACCGAGTTGTTGCCATGTAGTAGCTGTAGGAAGTTATGAATTTGAGTCTGAGTGTCTACAAAATCTGTAGAGTATTTTCAAAAAGAAAAGTATTTCAGTCTAGTGATTCTACAAGCAGCATGAAAATTGAAAACTGGCTTGAAATTAAGGAATGGCTTGACAAGGAAGACAGAGGTCAGCTGTTTATGTAGCTTTAGGAAGCGAAACTAAACCAAATCAAGATGAACCAACTGCAGTTGCATTAGGTTTGGAGAAGTCGGAATTTCCATATATTGAGGTGCCTCAACTCGAGGTAACGAGTCATGACTCGGTGGACTTTCGACCCATTGCAGGCTCAGCTCTGTGGTAGAGGCGTTGCAATTTGGGAAATGGCTCATCTTATTGACTTTCAAGCCTTCCAGCCTTTTGAAGGAAAAGAATATAAAACGTGACATTATCTACAAAATCATGGAAAGACTTTTTAAGTATTCTAATAGAAATTTAACGGAAATTCCAACTATGAATTAGAATTGTCATTTTTTAAGCATTAACTCATTTGTATGCAACTGTTGAGAAAGAAATAATGAAGACAGCACAGAGAGGAGATGTACAGAAGTCAAGCTTTTCAAGTGAGTCTAATGATAAGATCTTTGTTTTAGCCCAGGAGAATTCATATTATCATTTTAAGATATCCAAGCGTTAGATGGATAAGAACCTTTTTCGTGTTTAATTTTTCACTTACAAAATAAAAGAAAAAGTAAGGGTCTTTCAAAATCAAGAAACAATAGATTTCATTAAATAGCACTCGATTCAAGCATCTCGGCTTTCAAAAGTATATGCTTGTTTGCATGTGCATCTTTATCCGCACCCAGAAAAGAGGCTCAAAGATCAAAGTTACATTTGCCTTTCTATTTGTTGGTAGTAGTAATCATATTATACACGAATAATCTTACTAGATGTCTTAATGATGTACATAAGGGGAGGTAAATGAACTAGGGTACCTATTGAATCCAAACAGGATTGCAACCTTTTGTCGAAAGGGGTATTGCATATTACTTTGGAGGAGAAATTAGCTTATTTTCCTCTGAATCATGCTTCATAGAAGCATCTCCACCCATCAACTCCTGAAAGCCTTCAACTTTCACAGGTTGAGCACTAACCATTCCCATGTTCCTGCAAAAAAATAAATAAATATCAGATACATCTTGCAGCAGCATATGAAACCAAAAGAATAATAATAAGAGAAAAAAACTAAGAATCAAATCTAATTCATAGAGTTTTTTACGAGGTCTGGATTTGTGGAATTTGAAGAGAATTCTTTGGCCTAAACGCATTGTTGGCATGAGCACGGAGGGTAGATATTGCAGCAAGCTGTTGCTGCCTCAACTGATGCACCTGTGGGTGTCTGGCATTCATTGATGTGAAGGCATTATTATCCATTGGAGAATCAGAAGGATTCTCCATCTTCACTTGCACCATAGGTCTGTCCTTTTCCATATTCATATTCGAATTCATGGCCGGACGAGGTGCCATCTGTTGTCTTCTCATCCTCTCCCACTGCTGCTGCTGCTGCTGATGTTGTTGCAAAGCTAGATAGTTCACCTGCTGCATCTGTGGATTCATTTGTCTTGAAATCTGTATAACAACAGGAGCAAATTGCCATGAATATGCTATTCAACATGAATACTCCAAGGCTAAAACAGAAACTGGCGTACAACAAAACGCCTTTTAAAAAGCCTAAAGTTTTGATTAGTTTCTGTCCTTCAGCCAGAAAATTCTATAAAACCTTGTGGCAATCCTGTTTTCATCTGACAGTAGTTTTCTCCTCCACAGTATTGTCCATAATTCACTATTCAAGAGGGGGAAAGGAGGGGGTGGATGGACTCCCCTGGCATGACTCTTTATGTTCCCTTTAATTTGCAGACGGCCTGGAATGCACAAGTAGCCTAGAATCTGATCCTACCTTGAATCAAGATGTAATGTCCATTTCCCTTTAAAGTATTGGTTATAACATAAAAAGATGAATCAATAATGTTCTTTCTTCAACATAAAGCAAATTTGACACAATTAAACCACCCGACCCTCGCACAACCACTATTCAGAACCCATAATCATGGTTAAAAACCAAATATAAAGATTATTTAAGCAAAACTAATCCAGAAGTACCACAAAAAACTACAAAATCCTATTCAGATTAAACACATTAAAATGTCTTTTACTGTTTAGAATCACCCAAAAAACCAGCACCGATCAAGGAAATAAATTTTCCAAAACATCAAACCTACATGAAAATACCAAATCCCAAATCTTTCAAATAATGAGAAAATATTTTAATACTTGGCTCCCAGTAGGACAAGGCAGGGGTGAAGAAGAATGGGGATGGTGTTGGCCGATGGACAGTGAAGGTAGATGAAGTGGAAGAGGAGGAAATGATGTAAATTTGAACGACAAGGGAGGTAGAACCAATATGAAGGTGGTGAAGCCAGACGCAGTAATGGGAGGAAATGGGAATGGTGATTATGCGTGGAAGCGAGATGAGGTAGCTGTGCACTGGAAGGGCTGGAAGAAAGGTTGAAGGTGAAAATCTAGTTGGGAAGGGCAGAGCAACAGTTGAGAACAAATATTATTGGCAGTGATGTGCCTGGAAGAGAGGGATGGGAGAGGAGCCTTCTTTTATTTGGTCTGTAAAATGCTGAACCGATTATAATACAGCCATAAAAATATACCGAGAACCACAGAAATATACATTACAAATAGCAAGTAAAGAGAAAAATAAACTTATACCTGCTGAGGCTGCTGAATTGGAGCTTGATGCTGTGTTTGCAACTGTAACTGCATTCCTGGTACTTGGGAGTGACTTTGTTGCATAATATTCCTGGTATTATCCTTTACAAGCTCAGATAAAGTCCCAAGGTTACTGGTGATTAATGGGGAAACATGTTAGATAGTCGAAGACAATGCAAGTTGACACTGAAAATAGGTATAAGAAATAATTTTACAAAAACAAGTACAGATGACTACAAACAGTGAAAATTTCTCCTGAAACAATCATCATCCACAGCAGAAGACTGAAAAACAAATCAAAACACCTCATTTAAAAAAAAAAAAAAAATTCCTTAATCCACAAAAAATTAACAAAGTGAGAATGCAGAACTTCATGTAGCTAGAGAGGAAATAATATAAATACCAGGGGACAGCACATTTGCAAAAATAGATTTGACATCTTGTGAAAAATATGCCAGTAAAACATTCAGATAACAACAGACTAATTTGATTTCCAAGAGTCTACACATAACATTTACCCTCAGTTCTCAGCAACCATACTTAACACCCCCACACAGTCAGGTTTCACCAGAAATGATCCTATAGGAATATGAACGGACAAAAAGGGTAACAAAGAAAAACAAAACACTACAAAAATTCAACATAAACAGTCCATCACTTACCTATATCCAGCCGTTTTAAGGAACATCTTCAGTAACTCCATGGCTGAACACTGTTTTCTGTAACTATCAGCAAGGAGTTTTAAAGTACGACCTAATTTACCAATATGACAACTCAAACACTGCACCAAAACTTTCAAAGGAACTTCAGAAGAAGCTTCAAATCCCGCACTTGTTAGTAATCGTGCAACCACCTTTTGCGACATCTGTGATGCTTGTTCTTGACCAAGAAGTTTTCTGTTCCCTTGAAATCCATGCTTTCCACGACTTTGACTTCCTCCCTGATCTATGTTTAAGTATTCCGGACGGATACCAAGCCTCTCAATCATAATAGGATTGATAACAGGGCTTTTGGCCATAATCCGGGGTAAGTTATCCAGAACGCCATTGAACTCCACTTTCTGATTGTTCTCCAGTACAGTTGTTCTCAAGACTGCACTATCTGGGACACAATTTAAGGTAAACATTGTTTCCGGGAAAAATAGCATTTCATCAACAGCACTACTGTCATCTACAGCCAAGTTTGATCGTTCCAACATGGGATTGGCAAAACTCAAGTTCTTATCTTCCTTAAAAGCTATTCTCCTCCTCTTGTGATTCTCAAGAACTCTAAGATATGTATGCATCTGCTCAGGCGTACGTTTTTCTGACTCTCTATCACCAAACGATAACTTACATGATTTACTTGCTCTGTATTTCTTATAGAACTGACTATACCATGTTTCTGGCAATTCTTCAGGCTTAAACCTTTGGGAAACAGCATCAACTTCTACTTCACTAAACCTTGATCCAGCACCAAGACATGCTTTGGATTGACCCTGTGAGATGTGAGAATAATATCAGATGGGCAGAAGAAATTGTTGCATTAAAATAACAAATAAGAAACGAGAGAGACATTCTGGCACAGTGAGAAGTAAGAGATGAATAAGAACAAGTACTTCAAAAATATTATGCCCATGTTTGAGCCACATTCTAGGAAAAAATGCATTATTCATGTTAAATCAATGGGAAATGAGTGGTTAAAAAATAAGGAAAAATTTTAGATTTGCGTGTAATATTATTTTATTGAAAAATGTGTGATTGAAATGATGTCAAATTACTGTTGAAAAATGTATTTTTTTGAAAATAATGTGGCTCAAACAAACCTTATATATGAGAAAAATATTAGAACGACCTAATACATGTGCCTATTTTCCAAAGTACCCTATAACACTTAAAAAATTTTGCCCGGACTCCCCCGTCGACCTTACCGGAAAGGTCTATTTGCAACCAAGGCAAAGGTGTACAATTTTTACAGTTATAGTTCAATAGTTCTTGTGATCAATTCCTACTTCCAAATCAAACTGGATTAAAATATACTCCTCTCATCGACTTGAGCCTTCGGAGCAATCAATTAGCAAACAAGCAACCATAAAAATTGTAAAACATGAATTGTAACACCATGTTGTTACAAAAAAATCATGTCAAGGCACTGAAGAGAGAGAATGAAACCACCAGAACAGGAGACAATTATAGATGTTTAGGAAAAGAATGGGGGCTTTATACTGAAATTCCAGGTCCTGCTATCCTTAAAATGAAATAATCTAAAATGGCTTGATAATTCAAGAATTTCTAGATGTGTAACTCGCAAGCATTGTGCTATGCTTATCTGTGATTGGCTGACAGTATCCTCTTTTTACAATCTACTCTATCAAGTTCATCACCAATACGAAGTCACATATTTCAAATCCTTTTTAAGAACATTTGATATGATTTTAGGCCATCCTACTTCATGAATTTTCTTAAACGGTGCAACTACAGGCCTCCACTAAACCAAATCATATGGTCCAAAATAAAACATGTACAAAATTGAAAAACTCGAAAATTTGTAGAAAATAATTTGATTGTTTTGAAAAATTGGTGAGTGAAAAAGTGTACAAAGTTTTGCTTAAATAGAAAAATTAATTCTATAATCCTAATGACTAGAAAGATGATCGTATCGTAATTAAAATCCCAAAAAGGAATAAAAGGGAAAATCATATCATAACAAGAAAGTAAAATAATATTCCAATTAAGAAAGAAAAAGAAATCATATTCCAAACATGACAGAAGAAACATATACAAAACAAGAAAGAAGAAAAGATAAATTTTTATAACTAGAAATCATATTTAGAATAGAATTGTCATATATCCTTGTCTCCAACTAAAAGAAAACTTGACCTCGAGTTTGGTTGAATAAGAAGAAATCAATCAATTATGAGGAAAATACTCCAAACAGTCATCACGTTGTGAGGATTTGAACCTAACTTGAACTCGAGAAATTCAGGCCTGAGAATACCAGTGAAGAACTGTCATTCACCTTTAGTAGGAAAAACTTCTTTGGATTGCTTTTGTTAGGGCAGCAAGATAATCTTTTTATCGTACTACCAAAAAATAAGTGTTGTCTCGACCTTTGTAAGTGGCATCGATGTCAAATAGCCATGGTCTTCCAAACCGGAAGTGGCAAGCATCCATATCAACTACGTCACATATAACCTCATCCTCGTGGTACTTCCCAATTAATATAGGAACTATGCAAACTTCCATCACTTGAACTTTTGTACCTTTTTTAATCCATGCAATCTTGGAAGGGGTTGGTGTCATTTTCATCTTCAAGTTTAGGCTCTGGAGACGACATTCTCCATGCTACTGCTGCTGTCAACACTAATGTTACATACCTTTTGCTATCGATTGTGCAGCATGTGCGAAAGATCTTGTGACGTTGACTATCATCTTGTTTCTTTGAGGTCGGGAGAAGTCATTTCACAATACGAGTGACCGCTTTTCCATCATCCTAATAGTAACTTTACAGCCATCTTAAGTCTCCTCAATCTCTTCTTCATCTTCGACAAAGTCAACTAGCCACCTATTAGGGCCGACATTGGAAAGATGACTTGTTTAACAACATCTAAAGTACATCTTAAGGTTTGGCCTTGTGTAAGCATCGGTAGTAGTCCAAGAAGGTGGTTGTTAGACAGTACCCCCTTCAATCCAGTGTTTGCTTGTTGAACATCCTATTCTAAACAAGAAAGAATAAGAAATCATATTCTAAACAAGAAAAGATAAATTCTAGAAATCCTATTTAGAATGGAATTGTCCTACATCACCATCTCAATCAGTTTCCTCATAAATACCCTAATAGGCATTACTTTAATGTGCTCATGTATTATTCTAATACTTTATGTTTCACCGTTTATCAATCATATCATCCACACTCAATCTATGTAGATATCTCTTAATGGTCCGACATGTTGTCCATAGAACACAGGCAACATTATAGTACTCCTTTGCAATTTTCCTCCCAATCTATTAAGAATTCAAGGGAAAAAATAAATAAACCAGGAGGAACTCCACTACGTTCAACCAGCATTATTCACTCGAATAACTCTAAATATATCTCCATGAATAACTAAACCTAAAACTAAAGCAGGAGGAACTCCACTTCATTCAACCAGAATTATTCATTTGAAAAACTCCAAATATATCTCAATGAACAACTAAACCTAAATATAAAAGCCGCTTACTTTCAAGCATTTCTAGTAACTCCAAATACATCCAATCTCTGCTACTCCTTTACGAGTACTTCAACTTAAACTTAAACAAAATTACAACTCCTGTATTCCGTCTTGCTCTAACTAGACTTTCAATCCTATTGTTTCATGATATTATCTCCAAAATCAGCATCCCATACTTGTTCTTCAGTCTGGCAACATAAATTGATACGAATAATCATTCTTGTGCAGCCAATATTCTGAAAATAATATATAGCAACATAAAATGTGTGCTCAGAAAAAAAATAGATATGGTGCTGGCTGAAGAAAAAACAGATTCGTTTTAGATTGAGGAGAACATTCTTACAAATTCAAATTGGTTATGGTGGATGGTAAGACATATAATGGGGGCCAAAGGGAGAACAGAAAAGGTGAGTGCTAGAGGGAGACTAATATGGCTTCTGAAGAAGAAGGAAACAAGAACAAAATCCAGTTTTCCTTTTTGTTATTCTGTTGTTATTATGACATTTTCTGAAAAGGAAAAAAAAAACATGATCAGTGTCTCTCCTTTCTATCCTTTAAATTTTTTATAATAGAAAAACAAAAGATAGCTGGGTTACGAAACTGTCTTGAGTTTTTGTTCTCCAGTACTGTATTTGATTCTTAACACTTATTGCTCTCCCGTCTTGCTCCACAAGAAGCACTAAAAGTCTAATAGGAGCTTCTAGAGGGGTAAAAGAAGATAAAGCAATTGACTTTCTTAACATCCTCACAATTGCAAGTAGAACTGGAACTGAGCTAATCAGAATAAAATGAAAACCTTCGATGATGTAGTATTGGAAACAGCCGCTGGTTGGAGCTGATCCGCATCTTGTGTGCCATTTTCTAAAGTGAAATAAACGTCATCACCATGCAACTCCAAATCTGGAATACATGTAAACAAATATAGAATTTAAAGGAAAAGGAAGACCCGGATGAAAACACAGCCTAAAGTGTTAAAAGGAAGAAAAAGAAACAATTGATACACGTTAAAATATACAACTCATACTCAGCCATAAAATTGGATGGTTGAAGAAAGACAGAGAGATGGAGAAACTAAAGCAAAAATTAATAAATATTCATCTGAAAATATGCAAACTGAATAGTGCTCTGTAATTGGGAATCTTTTGTATAATTAAAAGAGACACAAAAACAAAACTGAAACCAAATTTCAAATTGAGACAATTTGACACAACAAGAAAACCAACTCTAGCTAATAGCCTAATACGATGAATTGGACAGACGTATAAATAAAAAACTTACAATTAGGATTGAGCTTTGGGATAGCGGCAGACAATGAGGATTGATTGCTACGGCAGAGGAAAAGGGAGACGGAGGCCTTGTCGAAAAGGAGGGCACGGGCACGGAGCTGAAGCTGGATCTGGGTCTTGGTCTTGGAGTCGTCGGCTCGCATGAAGGCGTCCCACGAGGACTGCGAAGAGAGAAAGTGGATGAAGGTCGAGTAGAGAGAATCCCCAAGCCAAGACCGCCACACGCCGTGGCATTCCAGCTTCCGCGCCAACTCGTAGCCGCGTCCATCGTCTCCCATTAATGCCATTTTTGGGGTTTATTGTGCTTGCGCAATAAGACTGTAACCTTTTTATTTTGTGTGTGTGTGTGTTTGGTGACAGGGCCCTGAAGAGAAAAGAAAACGAAAAGTACCTCCAAGTCTCAATTAATGTCATAATTATCCCTTATCTTTTAAAATAGGCAAATGGATTCCTGTAGTTACAATTGATTGAAAATTTCACCTTATGA